TTCTTCTTCTTCTTCTTCTTCTTCTTCTTCTTCTTCTTCTTCTTCTTCTTCTTCTTCTTCTTCTTCTTCTTCTTCTTCTTCTTCTTCTTCTTCTTCTTCTTCTTCTTCTTTCTTCTTCTTCTTCTTCTTCTTCTTCTTCTTCTTCTTCTTCTTCTTCTTCTTCTTCTTCTTCTTCTTCTTCTTATTATTATTCTTTTTCTCTTTCTTCTTCTTCTTCTTCTTCGCGTTTACCAGCTGTAAACTCGGGCGGAAAGTTCTGGCTATTCGTCTACTTCTGGACTCTGCTCCTGTTCCAGAATTGGAGCAGATATCCGTTTTCCAAATCTGAGTCATGTTTACGCCTCTTAGATGCTCTCAGACTTCAAAGGAAGCTCCCAGTTAGTCCTTTCCTGCGACAAGCTTTTGGGTAGGCAGTGGGTCTATTCTTGTTTTCCTTAAAAACCTGAAAAACACAGAGGACTTTGTTTCATAATTGTTGATACCAACAGCATTTTTTTTTTTCATTCGCCACCTTTACGTTTACTTTCGGATTGTCTTTGATCTGAACTTTTGTTAGCGAGCAGGTACAAAACAGGAGTCTGACGGGCGAAACTTGTCAAGCCATTTGCCTTCCGCTCCAAAGGCCGTGGGTTCGTTTGATGGCTGCGTTTTCAATTCACAAGTGCAAATTTTTTCGAGATTGCAGGAGACCGTCGCCGGATCTACCGGGTTTGTGCTTTGTATGAGAAACTCATCAGGCGACAAGTTGTTCGGCGAAGAAACACGGAGGCAAATAGGATGATAAAACTGGATGCAACGAAGTCGATCCTATCGTGTTAGACATATAATTTTTAGATACAAAACAACACAGCTGGATCACCAACGAGTATCGCTAAGTAAATCCTTCAGTTGAAAACTAAATCCACTTTCTTCAATTGAAAATATTTCCTACACCAAAGTCTGTGATAGAACACTAAATAGTTACAAAACTAGTTACCAGTAACACAGAATCCAGCTTGTTTCTATCTTAAATAATCAACAAGAACGGCAGGTGAAAGAAAACATAAACTTTAATAAATTCCAAATGATGACGATGACCTAAAATGAAATGCCTGCTAATTCCACTTAAACAACATGAATAATTACCCGTTCCATTTTCCAGTTGCTTTTAAGAAAAAATCCAAAACTCAACCACGTTCAACCCGCTGCTAGCAGGTCTTGTTTATGTGCCCCACTTTCATGGCTAAAGTTCTGGTATTTGCGCCGTCTCTAGACCTAATGCTTCTTTCCTCCAAGTCAGACCTCTCATTCTTTATCCTGTTGTCAACTGTGTTCTTCTTACCCTTTCCTTTCTGATGTTTCCTCCTTGATTTCAGCTCCTGATTTGGCCAGACGTATATAGTAGGAGAGCGAGCTTCTCAACCATTTATAGTTTTAACATTTTGAGATTTTACTTTGCCATAGAGTGCTGAAAACAGTTTTTGGGTTTGGATAGACCCGAAATGTGAAAATATTCCGCGTGTGAGACCAAAGTCTTCCTGCAATAAAAAAAATAACCGTTTCCCCGCATTGAGTCAAAATACGGAAAGGCACGGCTGGATTAGACAACTGTAAAATATAACAATTCTTCTTCTTCTTCTTCTTCTTCTTCTTCTTCTTCTTCGCGTTCACCAGCTGTAAACTCTGGCGGAAAGTTCTGGTTGTTCATTCACTTCTGGACTGTAGTTCTATTTCAGGACCTGAGTGATGCGTGTGCATCCGTTTTACAGATATGACTCATTTGTATTCAGACTGCTGGTTCCTTGCCTCTCAGGCAGATGCACTCCGACTTCGAAGCAAGCTTCCAATTAGTCGACTCTTACTACATGCTTTTATGTAGGCAGTGGGTCTATTCTTGTTTTCCCTATAAGAGGGCTCCGGAACCCACACGGGGAACAATGATTCATTTCCATACATTATTGATTGTATTATACAATGAACCATTTGATCCATCTGATAAAACAAACTTTCTATCTGATATCCTGGTAACTCCCTATGTATGATTCGGTGTCACATTTGTATTAGGGGGGGGGGGGGGTGGTGGAAAGATGGACCCATTTTACATGGTTATCCTTCGTAATGATATTCCTTCTTGAATTCTTAATGGTATTTCGACTGAATATCTTTATTTGGATATTTCTGCTGAATATCATTTTGTGGGTATTCTGTGTAGTAATAGTGCTTCTTAATTTCAAACTGGGCGCTTGTTTCCGATGTTTCCTTTCTACGGAGGAACCCACTGTCGGTCATATAGGATGATTTCGTTCTCAGTAAGGACTAATCCCTACAAAGACACATTTGGTGTGGTACTTCACCTGTACTCCTTCTTTGCTGATGACCAGGCCTTGATTACAGATACAGCCATGAATGTGCAACAGCATCTTACATTCACGAATGAAGAATGTAAATCAAATAATATGAGAATCAGCATCGAAAAGACAGAAGTAATGTCAATGGGAAGTAAGAAGCAGGATTTAAACATAGCACTAGAGCACATATATTAAACAGGCATTTTAGTTTGAATATCTTGGAACAACGCTCACTGAAGATGGTACATTGGACGAATAAACTGACACCCGATGCAGTAAAGCTGGCCAAGTATTGGGACGGCTAGTCCCCCCCCCTCCCCGCCCTTCTTACAGCATAAGGCAATCCCAATCAGCACAAAGAAACATCTCATACAAAGCATCTTCATTCTCACCATATTCTACCAGTGCCAGACATGGTTACTCACAGCAAAACATTAAAAAAAAAATAGTAAAGATGGACCAGAAGAGATAAAATCAAGAATGAGGTACCAAGATATAGTTGGCACAAAACCAATTCTAAATTACATATAAAGACAGCACATCAAGCGGTTTGCTCACTTGAAGTGAATGCCTTCTGATGCTATAACATGCAAGGAAAATGCCAAAAAAGAAGAGGGACGTAGAGCAAGAGGTAGACCAAAACAACATGGAAAGATAACATCAGAGAAAGTCTACAGCACCACGATGTGACTATGGTTGAGGCAGCCAGAAAAGCACGAAGCAGATCCTTATATCTCCCTCGACACCCGAAGTGGTAAAAGTGGGCTTATATAAAAAGAAGAAGAAGAAGAAGAAGAAGAAGAAGAAGAAGAAGAAGAAGAAGAAGAAGAAGAAGAAGAAGAAGAAGAAGAAGAAGAAGACCCCCCCCCCCCTTTTCCTCCTTCCCCTGTGGATTGGGAGGTCATCGGTACAGGTACTGATGGAGCCATATTTTTTCCCAACATTACATTGACTCCCAGGTGGACGCAGCCTTAAATGGGTACCAGGTAAAGTGCGGAAAAGTACAGGCGGTAGGTGAGATGCTAACTACATCACTCACGGATGCCTTTTACAGTTAGTAAGTTAGCTAAGGATGTTTCAGATTAAATGTACAACGATTTTGATTTCAGTTCTATACATTCAGATCCAGGGGCTCCTCGGATGAGTTGTGTATTTTGTATAAAATTTACAAATGTAAAGGCGCTAAATTGGAATGTGAATGCCTGAAATAGATGTGTTTATGCGGATTCCCGATGTGATGAAATAAAATACTGAAATAAAAAATGACACTCAAATCAACTTCGTTAAGTTGTTTATTATTTATGTAATTACATTTCTGCTGTTCTTTCATTTTATCTATATATCTATCTACTGGTCTCATTTGGTTTCGATGCCAATCTAGCATACTTTCTGTTTAGTCCACACAGATGCATGTCGGTATATACGTTTTGCCGTTTAGCCTCCCCTATCTTCCTCTTACCCCTTTCTCTCCCTCTCTCTTATCTCTTTCTCTGTCTCTTTCCTTCAGTCTCACTTTCTCTCATTCACTCTCTCCTACAGACACTCTGTTTTTTTTCCACACTCTCTCCTCATTTTAATATATGTCTGTGAATGAATATATTATTGTTCTTGTCACATCTGTTTCATTAGAAAACATCCAGTACATAGGACCCAATAAATAAAAAAAAGCTGTTTACCATCTTTAATCATTAGTGTATGGAATGCACCCAATTATCTTGTTTTTACACCGTAGTAATGATTCATTCCCCAGCATCACACGAATGTATTTTATTTGTTTTCTAAAGTGGATGTAAACAACAATTCTTGAGAGACCAGCCGACATTACTGCACTAGGGGCATTCTAATGGATGCTCTGTCCTCATCTTCAGCAGCCAGCACTTAGTTTCAGTACTGATGGTACCGGTGACAATCTGGTTATATGTCCGTCTTGCCTTTCCTCTGAGTTTAGTGAGCCGGCCAGACCCTCTGTTTACACCCAGGAGGTTGACTTGATATTTCTAGACCACTTTGCCAATTGTACATGTTAAACATCTGAATTATTGGTTCGATTGTCAAACGTATCATTATTTGTTGTTTCTGTTGTTGTAATTGTAGTTGTGAAATTACAAACTTTGATGGATGAACATGCCTTGCTTGCGTAATATTTCAAAACAATATCTTAAATGGTAGCTTCCATGTATGTGTATCCAAACATGTGATACTTCAGGAGGCTTTTGGTATTGTCAGAGTAATGTTTTATAAGATCCACACATATTCACACTCACATACACAGAACATGAAATGAAAGAGCTTGTAACTTCAAATGCGCGGTTAAAATATAACTCTGAAACCAAAAGTTACAAAATAAATTCAAAATTTTACAGTCATTCAGTTTTTCGCAGTTTGAGCTTAGCGGCAAATGGATCTCTCCCCCCCCCCCCCCCCCCCTTTTTCCCCTTCCCAATTTGTTCCATTTCGGTGCCAGCGCTAAAACTGTATACCCATACTTGCCTCTTGTAGAGTAATTGAAACAGACTGCAATGTTTACAAAGCCAATAGCAACACACGCATAATTTGCATGTTAGTCATTAAAATATTACAAACGCAGCAAATAATTAAACAATAGAAGGAAGTTGTGGTTATTATCAACAGCTTTGGTTCATACTTTGCATATCCACAAGAATTTTATGAAATTCAGTTTGGATCAATGAAATAAAACTCAAAGAAAGAACCATCTGTAAAATAAACTCGCTTAAAGTTCTGTATTAAATTCAGAACCTCTGCTTTTAGGCTAGGAAATCTGTGCTGGCTTTTTCGAGCTGAAACATTTGAAGAAGAAAGAGAAGTTTGGTTAAAAAGTACGAGAAAGTAATTGGACTGAACATTTTAGTGTGAATTTGGGTGCATGTGTGTGTGGGAGAGGGGGAGGGGGCGAGAGGTAAGTAAGTAAGTAAGTAAGTAAGTAAGTAAGTAAGTAAGTAAGTAAGTAAGTAAGTAAGTAAGTAAGTAAGTAAGTAAGTAAGTAAGTAAGTAAAAGTAAGTAAGTAAGTAAGTAAAGTAAGTAAGTAAGTAAGTAAGTAAGTAAGTAAGTAAGTAAGTAAGTAAGTAAGTAAGTAAGTAAGTAAGTAAGTAAGTAAGTAAGTAAGTAAGTAAGTAAGTAAGTAAGTACGTAAGTAAGTAAGTAAGTAAGTAAGTAAGTAAGTAAGTAAGTACGTAAGTAAGTAAGTAAGTAAGTAAGTAAGTAAGTAAGTAAGTAAGTAAGTAAGTAAGTAAGTAAGTAAGTAAGTAAGTAAGTAAGTAAGTAAGTAAGTAAGTAAGTAAGTAAGTAAGTAAGTAAGTAAGTAAGTAAGTAAGTAAGTAAGTAAGTAAGTAAGTAAGTAAGTAAGTAAGTAAGTAAGTAAGTAAGTAAAGGACACTTTTCCACTCCTTTAGGCGTACAAGGCATATAGGGCTAGACCTTTACTTTATAGACCGATCAGCACAAGATGAGTGATGAGGTCAGCATCACGCCAGCCGCCTTTACTTCCCGGGACTGCACCCGGTACCCACTCAAGGCTGGGTCGACCTGGGAGCTAATGTCTTTTTTTTTGGGAGAAAAAAAAAATCGGGCTCCCCCAGGGAGCCAACTCACGACCTTCCGACCCGCGGCGACCGTCTAGCCGCTCCGCCACGGCGACTCCCAGTACTCCCCCCCCCCCCCCCCCCCCCCCAAAAAAAAAAAAAAAAAAAAAAAACACTTACTCCAAAGGCGCATGGGGTAGATGTTACTAGGCTCAGATTTGCATAGACCAATCGACACTCGACGTGGTGAACGTCGCTCAGGTCGTCTTTACTTCCCAGCACTTTACTGGTACGCATTTTTAAGTGGGTCGATCTGGAAACCAATGTTATTGCAATTTCGAATCGAAGACTTCCGGATCTGCAAACAAGGTGCCTAGCCACTGCATCAGCACAGCTCTCTGCCGAATGGTCTATAAAATATTGAACTAGCCTTATATGCCCAACATGCCTGAAAGTGTTGAAATGCGACCTTTTTTTCTGGGGGGGGGGGGGGGGGGGGCGAATCCAGAAATCATGAGTTGTAAACCCTTTGGCTCGGTACTATGGCTCGGTACTATGGATATCACAAGCCATCGGCCTTGATTCCATGGCAGATACCGTAAATCTGGAAAATATGTGGCTTTTCTGTCTACCCTCGAGCATGAACTCGACCACAAGGAGTTTGTAGGTAGGTAGGTAGGTAGGTACTTAGGTAGGTAGGTAGGTAGGTAGGTAGGTAGGTAGGTAGGTAGGTAGGTAGGTAGGTAGGTAGGTAGGTAGGTAGGTAGGTAGGTAGGTAGGTAGGTAGGTAGTTGTACCCCACCAGGACATCACACAAGCGACAAACACCAGGTGACATAAAGTGTCACCATGCGGGTGAGGATCACCCGCGGAGAGGTCCCAGAAACCCCTTTCAGCCGTTAGACCATTTCTATGGCTAGGCCATATCTGTGCCCGGCTATATTCAGGGCATCCGGCATAAGCTAGGATGGGGCTTCAAACAAAAAAAATGGCTCCCCCCCCCCCCTTCCACACACACACACACACAGGGACGACTTTCACAAGCAAAGAGTTTGTCGCCTGGTCGCTTAGTTAGCACCCGAGGCTTCTACTGTAATGTTGACTCTGTGTGATTAGTACTGGCGCCCTGCTTTTATAGTTACAAACTCCTAAAATTAGTTGTGTATCCTTTACAGGACATTGCAGAACAAACTCGAGCATATTTTGGCTGTTGGTTTTTTTTTTAATGCAAATGTTACGTCCAGTAGTTTGCCACTGCTACTTAACGGTCAGCTCTCAGTATCACTGTCGAAACGAACGCAAGTCGAATCGTCCGCAGCTGGGATCGAAAGCGGTGTCCCGGCATTACGAAGCGCGTTGGCAACGCCTAAGCTATAGACACCGATAACCTCTAGATAACACTAATGTCCCCGGAAGTAAAGGGGCGACCAGTGTGATGTTGACCACATCAAACCACAGTCTTTAAAAATCTGAGTCCAGCATCATGTCTCAGTCTGCACCACTGGCGTTAAAAGGTCAGTTGCGTATCCTTTATATGACGTTGCAGAACCAACCCCAGCAGCCCCTGGCTGTTGCGTGGTTTTTCTAGGCAAATTTACGTCCGGTAGTTTGCCATTGCTTTCAGGACGATCGGCTTTCTTGATACCACTGTCGAAACCAACGCAAGGCGCATGGCCCGCAGCTGGGATCGAACCTAGCATCCCGGCATTACGAAGCGTTCGCATCGACTTAGCCACAGAGCCGACTCGCGTTAAAGAAGGGTCGAAATATATCAGTTGTGGTAGCAATTGTTTTCTAACAGTTCATACATCTATAACTATAAATGATTCTCCCAGACGGTATAGCAATTTTAGAAGGAATAAGAGCTGAGTTGAGGGGAGTCAATAACTGACATCATAGTATTCCCATATGCGCTCCGTCCCCATCTTCAGCAACTAGCACAGAGTACCAATACTTATGATACGGCTGGTAGTCTGGTTATATGTCTGTCTTGCCTTTCCTCTGAGTTTAATGAGCCGACCAGACCCTCTAATTAAACTTTGCAATTAAAAAAAAAGTAGCAGAAATCTGTTCAAATATCAATAAAGTGAAAGTACATAAAAATAGACATTATTTTCCATCTTAGTATACATTTTGTTTAATTTAGATAAATAATTAATTTCGTTACGGTTTATTATGGGTTACATTTTTAATAACTTATATATAGGGGAACCAATGCATACTTAATGCACGGGACCACTGGCACTTTTCCGAGGGTGCCCACGATCATGAAGACCCCATGCTAATCTGTGTATGTCATGTGACCATTAACATTTCATTCCTGTGAGTGGTTGTCGTAGTGGCCCGAACACATTGGTTTGCCCAGGGGATCATAATGCTGTTAAGACAGCCTCAGATGGGGTGCTTAGGGCATCTAAGAGTCCTAATATAGCCCTAAATTTGATAACAGTTTTTCTTCTTCCTCTCAAAGTCCATGCCGTGTGGCTTTGGTAGTCATGTCCTTCCACAATCTTCTGTTTCGTGTACTTTCAGTGAACTCTGACACAGATGATACTCCGTGTCGTGATATCAAACTGTCCAGCATCTTTTCATTCCATATCTGCTGCTTCTCCCCTCCAGATGTCCTACAGTCACGGTGTACCCCAGTTTTCATTTCATCCTTTTCATTACAAGACAAAGGAGCTGCGTGGCCTCGAAGCATGATGATCGCGTCGTGTGCTAGAGGTTCCGGGTTCATTCCCCGGTAATGGCTTAGATTTTTTCACGTAAACTTGGACTTCTAGTAATTCCCCCTGTTCTCTAGGTAGTGAGATCGGACGCCAATGTGCATTGTTGGGCACGTGAAAAAATCGTTTGGCAGCTGAACATCGAAAAGAGTAGCCTAACGTTGCTGCCCGTGCAAAATTTGACGTTACAAATCTACGCAAAGTATTTCAGGATCCTCGCCGGTGCTACAGAGCATGTGCACTGTGATGAGTTTCTTTAGACCCAGACTTGAGTTAGAAGAAGAATAGAGCACTTATGGGTTACTACCCGTGTGCCATGATGTTGATCCAGAGTTCAAACTAACTTCATCACAAGACTAAATAAATGATGACAGTTACATAACAATAATAAGCGAATGTGTTACCTTCGCTAACAAAGAAGTTAGCCACATACTGTCCCACCTTCACAGCATCAGCATCGTGATTAATTGTATAGTTTGGGTTCCAGTTGAAACTGTTCTTTTCTGGATGCCACTGGGCGCCGTAGATTGGGTATTCCTTGGCTAGACAAGTAACACGTTAATTATTGACACATTTTGTCAAACGAATCTTATATCATTCATGCAACAAAAGTCCCTGTGTGGGTTCTAGGGCCCCATTTGGGAAGGGGAGGGGCGAATATTTGCACTGTGCCTTAGCATGTATGTTGTAAAACGGGACTAATACGGAATTTCCTGAGATCAGATATGGTGGTTAGAAAGGAGCAGATATCACAGCCTGGCTGTAAACCCTAAAACAGCATGCCAGACATCATTTTAAAGGCAAGTTTGCGTTTTACTGGTTTATTTGTTTGCAGCTGGTTGTTCCTTGCCGCTAGAACATATGCACTTCGACTTTGAAGGAAGTCCTCAATTAATCGACTCATAAGACATGCTTATTGGGGAGGCAGTTGATCTATTCTTGTTTTCCCTATAATAGGGCCCTGGAACCCACACGGATAGTTAACAATATAATTCTTGACGTTTACCAATGCTGGATTTCCGCGATGTGTGGTTTATTAAATGGCTGAATGAGAATCACACCATGAGGAAGATTCTGGCCTCACTACCTAAAATTCCATTGTGGAGACGGCAACAATTTTTTCAATAAAAATTTGACCACTGCTGGTTTATACGATTGGGCCAAGATGTTGGATATTATAGTCACTCTAAATCTCTTCTGTCATAAACAAGTCGAAACGAAGAAACCATATTTAGTCATGTTTTTGAATTTAGGATTCAATAACGTGGGTAACTTTAAGTGTGTTTGATAATATTTTAAATCACAGCACATTGATTTTCAATCTAATATGCCGAATGTCATCCGAGCTATTTACCACACACGAAGTAGGCGATTGTCGAATTGGCGGAAGCTGTGGCAATTAATACCGACACTCCCGCGCTGTGTAAACAAAAAAGATAATGTACATTTCAAGCTTGTGTGGTAATTATGTAGCCAATCCTAAAATTAGACTAGTGAGATGTATAATATAACTAGAGACAATGAGATATGTGTATTTTAGTGGAAAGGATTCAAGTCGTGTCCTCCTTTATATGACTGTGTATTGTAATGCACCTGACGACATGCAAAGAAACTGCAATGCCCTGTTTACATTCAGATTAGTTTAAATGAAAAATTAATGTTAAAAACTTTAAACTAAGGTTCAAAGTGCTACAATAAAAACTATTACTTACCTTCAATACTGGATACAAATTCAACTCCCTTTCTATCCTTGTTTGTTGATAATTTTGTGAAAAATCTGGACAGTGTTGAGCTTTCAAAATCCTGACAACCAAATAATTCAACTCGTGACTGTGTTAGCAATTTTTTTAAAATTTCATTTGATTTCTAAATAACACAAAATCATGCTCCATTAGCAAGATATCGACGTGGCTGCTTCGGGACACATCAATTGGTTTTGTGTATTCGTGTGGTTTTGGTTTTTATGTATGTGCTGATGAAGGTTCTATAGCCGCAATGTTAACTTTTCCTTTGTATTTTTTATACTTTGAAGCTCGCTGATTTTCTTTTCTTTCGGTTTATATCTTTACAAAATTACAAGTAAGCACTAATTTAACTATAGGTTAAGCAATCTGTATATGTGTATCTCCAATCCACGGATGCGTCAACATTTTTAGAATTTGTTTTCGGGACTACACAATTGTTCATATCAAACTTTTTTTTTCTAGTGTCTTTTTTGTAACACTAAACGTCGTAGTTTAATAGATTATATAAAGCTGAGCCAGGGCAAGCTGGGTTGCTTGGTATGCTGTGAATGCTCACGCTGTCAGGGATTCACTCGACCCATAGTCTTCCATGTCTCCATCTGTCTCTCATTGTTTCCATTTTAGAGTTGTACGATGTTCACGTCGGCATAATTGGAAACTTTCTCACAAAGTGGTTGAACTTTTATTCCTCAACGAATTTAATGAGTGGTGATTCATCAGTTCAGTGTAATATACACAGTTTGACAATTTAATAACCAGACTGATTTTATTATAGCCAAAACAAACATAAAGCAAAGCATGATATTCAAACTGGCACCATTCATCTATGATCTGGCAATACTGTAACATTATCCGGTCAGCAGACGACACGGAACCCGCCATTTTATACCGCTAGTGAAATGTGCGTCATTACGTATGCAGCAGGGAGCCAAAGGTGAGCATTATTCTGTTTCACACTAAGAAAAAGTGCTACTAAAAAACTTATGAAATTCCTGAAGGATAGGAAAGCTACTGGTTCAGACTGTTTGCATTATCACATCAGACACTATTAAAACCAGCAGAAATACCTCACTTGAGTAACAGTTTACACAATTTAATAGTCCGTGGGATTGATGAATACCACCAGACTCGAAAAAATGATATCCGATAAACATCTCGAAAAAGTGAGACTGTAATTAGGTTCTAAATTTAAAAACATATAAAGACATTGTCATATCTTGGGGAAAGGTTAAGCAGAATCCTCATGGAAAGACTCACAGACACACTGACAAGTAGCTCAGGAGTGAACAAGCAAGCTTCTGACAAAAGACACAGTTGACAAATAAGTAAGGAGTGAACAAGCAAGCTTCTGAACAAAAGACACCATTGACAAATAATTAAGGAGTAAGCAAGCAAGCTTCTGACTAACGACACCATTGACAAATAAGTAAGGAGTAAACAAGCAAGCTTCTGACTAACGACACCATTGACAAATAAGTAAGGAGTAAACAAGCAAGCTTTTGACTAACGACACCATTGACAAATAAGTAAGGAGTAAACAAGCAAGCTTCTGACTAACGACACCATTGACAAATAAGTAAGGAGTAAACAAGCAAGCTTCTGAACAAAAGACACAGTTGACAAATAAGTAAGGAGTAAGCAAGCAAGCTTCTGACTAACGACACCATTGACAAATAAGTAAGGAGTAAACAAGCAAGCTTCTGACTAACGACACCATTGACAAATAAGTAAGGAGTGAACAAGCAAGCTTCTGAACAAAAGACACAATTGACAAATAAGTAAGGAGTGAACAAGCAAGCTTCTGAACAAAAGACACCATTGACAAATAAGCAAGGAGTAAGCAAGCAAGCTTTTGACTAACGACACCATTGACAAATAAGTAAGGAGTAAACAAGCAAGCTTCTGACTAACGACACCATTGACAAATAAGTAAGGAGTAAACAAGCAAGCTTCTGACTAACGACACCATTGACAAATAAGTAAGGAGTAAACAAGCAAGCTTCTGACTAACGACACCATTGACAAATAAGTAAGGAGTAAACAAGCAAGCTTTTGACTAACGACACCATTGACAAATAAGTAAGGAGTAAACAAGCAAGCTTCTGACTAACGACACCATTGACAAATAAGTAAGGAGTAAACAAGCAAGCTTTTGACTAACGACACCATTGACAAATAAGTAAGGAGTAAACAAGCAAGCTTCTGACTAACGACACCATTGACAAATAAGTAAGGAGTGAACAAGCAAGCTTCTGACTAACGACACCATTGACAAATAAGTAAGGAGTAAACAAGCAAGCTTTTGACTAACGACACCATTGACAAATAAGTAAGGAGTAAGCAAGCAAGCTTTTGACTAACGACACCATTTTCAAATTAGTATGGAGTAAACAAACAAGCTTCTGACAAAAGACACCCATTGACAAAAAAGTAAGGAGTAAGCAAGCAAGCTTCTGACAAAAGATACCATTGACAAATAAGTAAGGAGTAAGCAAGCAAGCTTCTAACAAAAGACACCATTGACAAATAAGTAAGGAGTAAGCAGGCAAGCTTCTGACTAACGACACTACTGACAAATAAGTAAGGAGTAAACAAGCAAGCTTCTGACAAAAGATACCATTGACAAATAAGTAAGGAGTAAGCAAGCAAGCTTCTAACAAAAGACACCATTGACAAATAAGTAAGGAGTAAGCAGGCAAGCTTCTGACTAACGACACTACTGACAAATAAGTAAGGAGTAAACAATAAAGCTTCTGACCAAAAAAAAAAAAACAACAACACACTATTGACAAAGAAGTAAGGAGAGAACAAGTAAGCTTGTGACTTAAGGTATCCTTCACTGACCAGATAACTACGCTACGCATAATAGAAAACAAAAAACGAAGCTCCGGGATTTTCCATGTGTGGTCTATAGAAGATGACTTGGGCATCTATTAGGACAACTGTACGTATTGAAGATAATCCTGGATATGAAATAACAAGCAATGATTGTGCTGCCAATAGAGCTATTGTACAGGATGTCCCATAAATTTCAACTCTTAGGAAACATACGATTGTTTGAAGGAAAAGAAAAAACCATTTCGATGCGCGTCTTTAACTGCTGAAAAACACATATAAAACACAGTTAAAATGATGCTTGTAAGGGCGTTGATGTTTTTTTTTTTTTTTCTATGCATGGAAGCAAATAGGTAACCCTAGACATTGAATGATGGTGAATGTTGGTAGAAGTTGCATGCAGACTTTACCGAGGTTAAGATACTGTAACTGTGTTCATGCTGAGTTACATTCTCTGTTGCCAGAATTCGTAGAATGTCCGGTGGAGCAGACCCAAACAGGCGACTTTTCTTGGCCTCTGTTTGTGAATATATATGTAGATGAATCATGAATATGCCAGAAATTGTGGTTGGTGTTTATAACATAAACAACATGCTTTATGCTGATGACACCTCTGACAGAAGTCAGAAAAAATTACAGGGATTGATAGATACGGTAGTGGTAAACAATGATAAACTGCACCTCAATTTGTCTAATGGTAAGACAGAAGTAATGGTTATTTCCAAGAAAAGAATAGTGACTAAATGTAAAATAAAAGTAAAAGGCGTTAATTTAGGAAAAATACAAACATTTCAGTATGCACATCGATAACATCTGATGGACGATGTATCACAGAGATAAAGAACAGAATAGGACAGGCCAAAACTGCATGTGATAAAATAAGGAACTTTTATGCAATAAATTCATGTGACTGGAGGTTAGGAAAAGAATTCCCGCATGCTCTATAGTGCCCGTTTCAACATACGGTTGTGAACCCTGGACAATAAACAAGTCAAATAATGTCTTGAGACATCCGAGGGCAGCCCAGATGTTTGAAAGAGGCGAGGGCTTGAAGACAACTTATCACAAACACCGGAAGAAGACAGTCATAATTTTTTGGTCATGTTAGAGGTAGGAACCTGGAACATGTTGTGACCACTGAAAATATCTGTAGCACGAGAGAGAGAGAGAGAGAGAGAGAGAGAGAGAGAGAGAGAGAGAGAGAGAGAGAGAGAGAGAGAGAGAGAGAGACACAGCGTCAGAAGATTTTTGACAGCCTTTTGTCATGGTATGGAGGGGTGTCAACAGACGCACTAATTAGCGCAGTTGGGGAAAGCAGATTATATAGAGGTATGATCGCCCTTGCCAGTCGGCAAGCCACTTGATAATGATCACTATTTCAGTACCAACATTTTCCCAGGCTTCATGTCTCGTGCGCCTGCTTACACAAACACACGCACACATTACCTGATATGTGTACGAAAGTGAAATGGCTTTGGTCAGACAGAAAGTGATAACTGATTTTTCAGAATATTAGATTAAATACATACTTTTATCCTGCCTTTCTACTTGAAGGTCTTTGGACTGAATCCACCTGAATGCAGTTTTCGACCTTGGTGTTCAAGTAATGACCTAACCTAAAATAGCTACAAGAAACTATACCCCCAAATCTCATCATCAGTCATCATTTCTCGTTATGCCTAGTGACACATGAGGCTTCATAGAAGACTTTCCATGCTTTCCTGTCCTGTCAATCTTCAGTGCAGTTTTCCATGGCAAAGATGCCGCACTCAGGTCACTTTCCATCGTTTGTCTCCATGTTGTTTTTGGGCGCCCCTGTTTTCTCTTTTCCTCTGGTGTCCATGTGAGAGCTGTTTTGGCAGGTATATTCATTCTCATAACGTAGCCAAGCCATTTCCATCTTCTCTTGGTTATCATACTGTCTAAAGTTTCTTTGTTTGTGACTTGAAGTAGTTTAGTGTTTGAGATTGTATCTGGCCAGAAAATTTTGATAATTCTACGCAGACATGTGTGGTGGAAGGTGGACAACTTGTGTGCATACTTTTTGGTCATTCTCCAGCATTACCCTCCATAAAGAATAGCTGCAAAATGATGCTCTTGTAGAGTCGGAGTTTCGTTCCTCTGGAGTAAATGTTGGATTTCCAGATTTGCCTCAACTGAACTGCGACTGAAAAGACACTGGCAATTTCTCCCTCCGAGTGCCGATGCCTCTTTAAAAATACGAATCATGCACCATGTATCCAATGCGCCAGTGGCATTACAATGAAATTCGCTTGCTTTACCTTTGGGAGTCGCCGTGGCATAGGCCGCTAGACACCCGCCTACGGGTCGCAAGGTTGTGGGTTCGCGTTCTGACTTAGACTGAAATTTTTTTGACGGTGAAGAGCTTGAGACAGTAGACCATTTTACCTATCTCGGTTCCACGGTTAATGTTTTGTATTGAAAGGGCATGAGAGTGAAGCAAGAAATTATTGCAGAAAGGATGAGAGCTGAGCGTCTAAAAAGAAACAGATTAAACACAAATGTTGACAGCAATAGTCCTGAAATCCCATGCTATCATTATGGAAGATTTTTCTTGACAAGGGCGGGTCTTGCTAGTCACACTCACCATCGCCATGGGCTGTGAGTCTCATGCCTCCTCACAGCCCAATGTAACACTATCTTCTGGAGAGACGGAAAGGTGCCAATGATGATAACATTTAATAATATTTACCAAGACGTTTTATTACCTGGAGCAAAATATAAGGGCCAAGTCACGTTGCTAGAATCTGTTGGTTTCAGCAAGTTACTTCCCTCCACGAGGTAGCATAAGGCCTGAAACCCCATGCATGTTCCCCAGACTGGGTAGTAATCTCCTTTTCTGTTGAGCTTAAAAGTATCGTTCACGCACACTTTTAATGTTAAAATGCCATGTGTGTATGCATGAATGTATGTATGCATAAGCGTGTGTATGCATGGGTGTGTGTGAATCCATGAGTGTGTGTATGCACATGTGTAAATGCATAAATAGGTTTTATGGCGTCTGTGGATGTGGATATAAGAGAGTTTACGCGTGTATATGGATGTACAGGTGTTTGCATGCACGTGGACGTATGAGTATGTATGTGTGTGTAGAGTGTGAATTGTGGGTGTGGAAGTCTGAGTGTGTGTGTGTGTGTGTGTGTGTGTGTGTGTGTATTTATGTGTGTATATATTGGAATTATGTATTTGCCTGTCATGCTCTGTAATTTATACTCTACGCTCACATTAAATATTTTGCTATATGAGCATAACATGATAAAAATATAGTTGATGTGTGGAAAATGAGTGTCGGGTAGGGCTGAATGTGAGAGGGCATGAGTGCCCAATTTGTGACCTTTGACAATTAAAATTTCGTACGTTTGTTCCACTTTGTAACAATAAAAAGGACATTAAACAAACTAATTTGATCTTAATAGTTAAACAGGTTATAATGTCTTTGAAGACTATAATTACTAACAACTGACAGTTGAAAGCTTTATTATCATCATACTGCACGCAGCTTGGTGTAGGAGCCTGCCCTACTGCTATACGCCTCCACGTAACTCCTTTCCCGCACGTAACTGCTGGTTACCCCAGACTGTTTGGGCAGTAATGTAGACAAAGAGGAAAAACTTATAGATATATTACAATAGAAATATAGCACTTGAGAATTTGTGGAGGTCAAACGAAAATTTGAACTAATACTAAACTAAAACTTTTTAATTCTAATGTCAAAGCAAAACTGTTGCTTGGAGCGGACACATGGAGAATAACTAAGGTAATTACTAATAAACTACAAACATTCATTTACCAGTTCCTGTGCAGAAAAGAGGGTATTAAATGGTATAAAAGAATAACTAATTTAGAGCTTTAGGAGCTAACTAAATAAGTTCTATTGGGTCATGAGGTGAAAACAAGACACTGCGTTGGATAGAACAAACTTTGAGAAAACCTGAGAACAGTATAATTTGAATGTGGTTCCACGGAAACCCACATGGAGGAAAACAGACAGATGTTTCTTCTTTTGGTTTGGCGTTCAATATTTAGTACTATAAGAATATCAAATCGACTTTCTGATGAACTGACCAAGCTATTTTCTAAAACGTTTATAAATTTTTTTTTTTTATGCCCGCAGAAAACTGATGCAGTACCAAAAACTTTTTTTTTACTGTATCAATAATTCACATTCCTAACCCTTTGAGTTGTTCAGCAGGACCTGGGTCACTGCTTTCACTGTAATGAGATGGTTAATTGCTCCGAAACATTCGTCTGTATTTGTTGATCAGCAGTAACTAGATGCAGTTACATGATGGTGAAGAGGACATGGTGAAGGCTCTCTTGGATCAAAAGGACCGTGGAACAAAGTAGGCAAAGTTTCCATGTCTGGAGAGTGTTGCAGCTGGGAGCGAGCATAAGCTCTAGAAGATTTTCAGCGTGCAACGGAAAAGACAGAAGGACTTTTATCACGCTGCAGCTGGCACCATAAGTCAGTGTAAGAGTAGGGTGACCATAATATCTTGAGATGAAAACAGCAGCCAACTAACACATTTAGCTGAAATCGGCACATCACAAGCGTGTCAGTTTATGTCTTGTCAAAGGAGGGGAGAGGGGTGGTCTCGAGGCAGGGGGTCCGCTTTGAGTGCTGGAGGTCCCAGCTTCAAGCCCCTTTGAACGCTGGCATTTTTTTCTTCACGTGGACCTCTAGTAATTTCAGCTGGTCTCTGGGTAGTAAGATCGGACGCTCGTGTGCATTACTGCGCACGTAAAAAATCAATTGGCAGTTGAAAATCGAAAAGAGTAGCCTTACGGCGCTGCCCGTGAGAATTTAAAATTTAAATCTACCTAATGTGTTTCAGAATCCTCGCCAGTGCTATGCAGTTCGTGCACTGCGCTGATAATCTCCGGTCTCAGACTTGAGTCAGAAGTAGAATGAAGCACTTATGGGTTACTACCCTTGTGCGATGATGATGATGCGTTGTACAAACCAAACAAACAAAGTCAGTTTAACCCCACCGCTTTTTTAGGTCACCGGGGTGAAATGGTTAATTATAATCACTCGCTTTGCAATTGTGTTATAAACCGAACCACTGTGGCCATGAAAAAAATAGTAACAATATGCCCTTGAACTGGACGGGACGGCCGGAGGGACATCTAAAACATGGGACCGTCCCGATAATAACGGAACATATGGTCACCCTATGTAAGAGCCTCCCCATCCCCGACCTCCCCCCCCCCCCCCTTTTTTTTCCACCAAATTGACTGAGGAGAAGAAAGGGAAATATGGCAATGTGCCTAGCGCGAAAATATAAAATTCCTGTTTGCCTGATAAATTATTTATTTAATTAACTAATTAATTAATGTTATACATGTACTTACTTCCAATGCCAACTCAAAAACAATCCTAATGGACCTCCCAACTGCACTTTTAATGAAACTCACAGCACCGCCGGGGATTAAAATACTGAAATATTAGAACAGAAAGTGCCATTTTCTAATGACAAATTGAATTAACGTGAGCGACAATGTATTACGAAAGACATGTCAAGGTCAGTAGAGTTATTTGCCTTTGTTGCAGACGAAAACAAATTTATGAACATTTTAATCCTAAACCCAGCTTTCCACAGATCAGTGCTCTTTTAAAATCCTAGAGAATCATCTTATGCTGACATTGTTAATAATAAATAAGAAGATAATGACAAAATAAATTATCATCTCCATTATCATTTGTCATATTTAGCGACGCATGACATCATATTTCTCCGACAAAATGTGTCTGCTGAATTTCTGATGAGATAGACAACTTGCTTATTCTGTTATGCCTTTGTGGGATGCAATTTTATTGTTCTTCTGAAGCCCCACCCTGGCTCTTGCCAGGGGCCACAATATATGGCCTAATGGCTGAACGCGGTTTCCGGGACCTCACCACGGGTGATCCTCATCATTGTGGCACTTTGTGTCATCGGGTGTTTATATCGCTTGTGTGATGTCCTGATGGGGTAAAAGTACTACAACTACTACTACTTCTACTGCTGCTGCTGCTGCTACTACTACTACTACTACTACTACTACTACTACTACTACTACTACTACTACTACTACTACTACTACTAATACTACTACTACTACTACTAATACTACTACTAATACTACTACTACTACTTCCCATCTTTCCTGCCATTGTTCAATGACAACATATAGTAATTAGAATGACTTCTAGCTAGTTTACTGCAACATGTCATTTACAAAACGTCGCTCCTATCAAGTCCGCTTTAGAGAAAAACTGAGAATCGAACCTACTACCTAAAGACGGCATGTGCGCCTCGCTATGGAAACAAGTGCACTAAAAACATGGTCAACTAGGCACCCAAAAAAGGTGTCATATTGGCCATGTCTATCGTACAGATTTAAATCCACAACTATGGAACATGGAAAGAATTCATTTCAAACCATTGAAATGGCACCATAGGTTACATAAATTTATATTAACGAAGCATAAGTCGAATGACAAGCACAGCGACAATTTACGAACTCAGTAGACCCTAATGCTTTGCCTTTAATACTCGAACATTTAAGAAAGTTTTTGATTGGTGGGTTCTTTCACATAAATAAACAGAGGGGGGAACCCTTGAGGCCGTTAAAAATTATATAATAATTAATAAAGTAAAGAAAATGTATTGATCGGCACCCCTAGAAAGAAATAGAAAGATAGAACACACTAGACAACATAAAAATCGAAATCAGATAGGGAATCCTTAGAATTCCTTGGACAGTCAAAGAGAGCAACATAGGTGTTTTGAAAAATGCGAAGGCTCGAGGACAACTTATCCCAGACATTTTGTGTGTGTTTCTCAGAATATGTCGAATATAGCGCCATCTTCTCTGTCTTATATAACTGTTAATACCAGTAGCTACCCAGATATTTCCCTTATTTCTTCACTTCTCTTCACTTCATCCTATCTTATTTTCATCATTTTTCTTAGGCATTTGTTTTCCAATACATTCAACTTTTGTTCCATTCACTTCAATTTTCACTGGCATAATGGCGGAGCCTCATTTTGAGGGAATAGAGTAGACCCACTGCCTTCTAACAGGCATTTCAGACAAGGTAAATAATTAGGGATTTCTCCATTGATGGAGTGCATATGCCTGAGAGGCGAGGAGACAAAAGAGTGCATGCAAGTAAGCTTCTGTAAAACAGATGTGCTTGCAAAATTCCAGTTATGTAAGAAAACTTAAGTCCAGAAGTAGACAACTAAAAATAACATTAGATTACTTTATTGAAACACTATAAAAGACTTTTACAGTGTTCAATAATTACAGTGGTTTCGTAATTTATGACATTGTGTAATAAGATACGCTATTGTATCTTATACAATTTTTGATATATGGTGTGATAATTTGTAATATGTCGTGATATGATATATGCTTATGGCAATAAAAAAGACTTCTTTGAAACAGTGTATACTTGCCCATTAGTAAAGTTAACCATCATCTGGTAATATTCCAGTGATTGATTCCCCCTGTTGGAGAAAAATAAGCATGATGTTGGCAGTGATTTATATGTAGTCTTCACACGGGACATAATAATAATAATAATAATAATAATAATAATGTCCATGATGCCCGTGATGATGATGATGGTGGTGATGTTTGATTCCTCACTGTTGTTTTTTCAGCTGGAGGAGAATTGTTTTCTTTGCGAGTATAGACAATATAAGCCTAGTACTTTCATTCTTGACGGTGATATTCTTAGTCTTTTAATGACAGGCAGGGACAGACGAACACGAATGTGGGTACAGGAAATGAAAGGATACACCAGACCCATCCATACTGAGCACAAGGTTATTTCGTAACTGTTCTGTAGTGCCCCAGTATAACTAAAAAAATGACCCATTCTGGTGTGGTCAGCATCACGCCAGTTGCCTTTACTTTCCAGAACTTTGCCTTGTAAAATTTAAAGCTGAATCGACCTCAGAGCCAAGATATCGGCGAGTTCGTCGCCGGTAGGAACGGTATTCGGGTATGTCTTCTTTGATCGAATCAACACAGCAAGAGTCCTTTTCATGGCGTTTGGTGGCGTGCAATGCTAAGTCATTTTATGTAGCGCAAATAACCTCGTCACAATTATAACCTAAAGCTCCCTCTCTTCAGGTATGCTGGTTAAACGTGACGATTGAAAAAAGAAATGTTTTTTAGCAAAGTACTACCACCAGAGCAAAGGTCAGGACCCGAAACTATAACCTTTGGATCCTCGGGCGAGCGCCTAGCCGATATACCACGGCGACTACCCAAAAAATGCTATACGGCTAACCGGTGGAACAGGGTTTCCCGGATTTATACTCGTTTGATTCTCATAAATCATTATCATGTAGTAGGTCCTTTGCAGAACGTCGCTCTCATAGCCGTCTGCCTGAAAGCAAATCAGGCTCTCGCCAGCTCTTCCGCCTCGTGCATTTTTAAGTTCAATAAGTCACTTATATCCTGTGCCTATCTTTGTGTTGATCGGTCCCTGCCCCTCCTTCCTGATACCATGCCTTCTGATATTAAATTTTCAAATCTGCCATGGCGCTTGAATTAACCAAAATATTTCAGCTTCCGAGACAATATGCTGTCTTGATGTTATGATTTTTTGAGAATGTGAGTATTTCTTCTCTTCGTTGTCCATGCTATTCTGAAAATCTTTCTATAGCATTTAAACTCAAACGTAAGGACTGGGAGATCGTCCACGACTCACATCCCTATGTTGCTACCATAGACTTTTAATGTTGTTTAATCTTTGAATTGCTATGACCATCCTTCTTTTGACTTACGCCGAACAGTCTCCACTGCTTTTTATTATGGAGCCTATAGATATTCATACTTGAGATGTTATTCTTCTTCTTCTTCTTTCGTTCGCCTAAAATAAGTTGTCTATATCAAAAATTTTGTCTCTTGTATAAATTTCACTGTCCTTGTTAGTTCATTCAGTGGTTTATAGAGTTTACGTTCCACTGTTGCTCTTTCTGGTCAAAAGGTTTGCATTAATGTGTCAAATTCGATGCAGTCCTGGAGTACATGCTCTGCTGTCTGGGGCATCTCTCCACATGTGCACATGGCTGATACGCCTATCTTGAATACTTGAGATGTTGATCCTGCAGACTGAAATTATTGAGGGAAATAAAAACTTAAAAAAGAGGCACTTTAGGGAAGAATGGTGAAAGGAGAGCTAGCAAGGGACATCCCCTCCTCCTCCCCAAAGGCCTGAGATAGAGAGCTACGCTCTGTTAAGGAACTGCTATATTAATATATCTAGACGGCAGTGGAACCACAATGTGCTGTCAATGAACAATATAGACCTCGTGGAAAAAAAAACTATTTAAGTCATCATTTGGCCTGTTAGGTTAGGGGTTTGGTGGTCAGTAGTAGTCAGTGAGGTGGTCAAAGTATTTCTGGACATGACTTTTTATAAAGTGAAAAGGAAACTTGATTAGTAGGTCAAATGGCAGCTCTTGTGTGTGTTTTAGTGCATGGCTCATGTGTAGTAAAGTATTCTGGAAGTTTCGCCAAGATAGTCGCCAGTAAGGATTCAGGCTATGACAAGATTGTTGCCAATAAGGAATCCATGCTTCGCCGCTATGACCGAAAATGTGGATCAAGGCTGCACCAAGCTGTCAACTAAGACGTCGACTTGGCCCCTAGTAAGGATTTATTCCCCGCTAAGATGGTGGCAGGGGTACGACTCGTGGATAGTAACGTTTATTTAAGCATGCTCCGCCAAGATGGCGAGTAGTATTCTTTTATTAACTGAGGTATGACATCATTACAATTACATTACCTGATTGGTACTACTCGGGCACCTGCTTGTTCAAGAAATTTGACATAGGTAGCAGAAATGTATGTTTTGCCATATGGAGATACAGTGTCTTCTGCGAGAATTCCTGTAAGTCGTTCGAAAAAAAGAAAAACTAGAACAATAATAACAACAATAACAACGCATGTCCCTTGCCAGCTATCCTTTCACCATTCTTCCCTAATCTCACACCCGCTTCGGTGTTCCATTTTGGTCGAGGAACAGACTCGCTGTCCCCTCACGGGCGACTGATTAACAGTTTGCTGAAAAAGGATGTGTTGGGCCAGTGGTAAGCAAAACTCATTAGTCAAAAGAGCCTAAAACCAGCTGCAAGACGATTAAATTTTTTTTTGAAAGCCAAATTTCTTTTCAAGAACCTGTCAAGCACTATGTTTTTCTGAGTCAAAACCGATTTGTGGCTGACTAAGCGAGCCTCACTCGGGTCGCTCAAGAGCCGCATACAACTCGAGAGCCGAGATTTGATGACCACTGAGTTGAGATGAAAGAAATAGTTGCCTAGCTTTAAACTTCAAAACATATCACGCCAACCACCCGGTTAGGAACGAACACAGAAGAAGAAGAAGAAGCAGTAGAAGATATTTTACTCAGTATCAGACAGCATGCTGATCATACAAATATATTTGTGAAAACTTATTTCAACTGAAACATTTCATTCATCCATTCTACTGCATTAGTAAATACCGCGAGCCTAAATATGAAAGAAAAGGTTGCCTTCTGCCCTAATTAAATCAGTTACACAATAAACTTTTAAAAAACATGTTTGAGAAGAAGCTGGCCGAACGGTTGGAACGTTGGGCTCACAAGCGGAAGACCTGAGTTAGAAACCTCGGTAAGGCTGGGGATTTTTTTTCATGTCGGGGGCAAATTCTCACCTGCACAGTCGTGGCGACAGCACTAGCCATGCGGCCGTAAATCCTCAGGCTCAAAGACCCCCCTGCCTACACCGCAAAAATGGTAATAAAGGCAGTTATTGGCAGTTTTAAAACACGTTTGAATACATTGATTTGAAGTAACTCCTTTCATTCTTTAGCAGGGAAGCACCTGAAATACCATCAGCGCCGACACCAAGGACAAATGGGCTGACCCGTCTGATATGAAGCTGAAACTAAGATCACCAAGTAGGAGTGATGCGACTAGCGCTGGCACCGTTACTTACCCAGGCCAAATCTCATTACGTCCGTGTACAGTTTGTTGAATCTGCTGTCATCTACATACACATACAGAGATATACTGACACGCACTCACTGACACTTAAAGACACACGCACAGCCACACACACTAACGTAGCCACGCACAAAGATGAAAACACAGACACACTCGCATAGACACATATACACCCACTCAAAGACACACACGAAGCCACACAAACATAAACGTACACACACAGAGGCACGCATACACAGATATACAGAGGCACACAGACAGACAAACACACACACACACACACTCAGACGCACAGAGACAAACACGCACAAACACACAGACACACATGGGGACACACACGTTGCCATAGGCACAAGCACACACACAGACCAAAGGCAGGCGCGTACACACACAGACGTACACAGAGACACACACAGATGCACACATGTAAGCACCTACAGACACACACAATTACACACGCAAACTCACACAGACACACGTACAGACACTCATGCAGGGACACACACACAGACAGACACAGACACAGGAGAACACACACACACACACACACACGGACAAACACACACACACAATAGACGGACACAGACACACTTACAAACAGAAACAGACACACAGACACACAAAGACACACGCAGACACAGACACGCAACAACCAAAAAGAGACACACACACAAACACATACACACACATAAATAAAGACACACACGCAGCCACGAGTACACACGTAGACACACATGCAGACACAGACACTCACTCATAGACATACACAGACCACACACACACACATATATAACGCAGCCACACACACAGACACACATACACACAGATACACAGACACACACACACAGATACCCACAAATACACACACACACAGACATACATTTAGACACCACACAGACATACGCATAAACTTATACAATTATCCATACGCATATAAATACACCGAGTCATACATACACAAACACGTGCATATATACAAGCTCCGACAATTAAGTAATAAGACTAATTACATAAAAATTAAAATAATCAACGCTTGAAAATATAACCTGTCTCTTATTCAAAGTAAACCCCTTGTGCATCGATACAGCAAGTGACAGGATCTAGCAAGCATTGGAACGACCTCTATAGTTCTTCATTTGTTATTGCCTTTAAATTCAATGTTACAGCCCTTTGGATGTTATTAACGTCGTTAAAGAAGCGTCCTTTCAATCGTAACTTTAATTTTGGGAATAGAAAATAATCACAGGGATCCAAATCTGGGAAGCAGGGTGGAAGACTGAGAACACACACCTTGTTGTTTGGCCAAACATTCTTGTTTTAAGGATGTCTCTTGGGTACTCAACCCACTGATGTTTTTGATCATCAGACAACTAATGTGGTACAAACCGGCAAGCAACTTTTTTTTTCTTGCCAAAATCTTGCACCAAAATGTTATGAATGGTCTCTCTATTAACACCAGATTTATTTTCCATCATCCACACAGTAAAACAATGATCTTCTTCTTGAATCCGTTCTCTCACTTTTGCAATAAGTTTATCATCATACCAACAGAAATTTGGCGTCCAGGTCTAGGTACATTAGTAATCATTCTCCACACCACTTTTTTAATCGTGAATACCACCTGAAAATTTGTGCACGAGATAAACAATAATCCCCATAAACGTGTTGCATCAATTCAACTGTTTCAATGGTGCTTTTTCTGAGTTTTAAAAAGAATTTAATTTTACCTTTATGCTCTGTGCTGATTACGTGATAATGCACCTCTGACTAGGTCAACAAAATTGCAGCTTCTTTGTTGTCTGCTTAGCGAGCAGCGATTAAAAAAAATGCTAGTTCATAGACGAATGTTGCCTCTTTAGATTCCATGCTTTGCTTCATAGATGGCACTTTTGTCTTGGCCATAATAAAATTAGTGTCATTACCTAATTGTTAGACCTTGTATACACACATATACATTTCACACATACATGCATACATACATATCATAACACCTTTTCTAATTTTACACTGATAAGATAATATGGCTTTTTAACTACATTTAATGTTGCAAATAATCACTGGTACTCATGAAACAAAGACGTTTGAAGTTAAATAATTAGGGGCTCTTTGTAGTTTTCAGATCGACTGGAAAATAGTTACATAAATGAGCAGCAGAATATGTTAGACTTGTTTTAAATAAATCAATTCTAAGTTTAGGCAAATGTAGTGAACTTAGTCGATTGATATTCGTAGGTTAGGATTGAATCAACAGGAGAATCTAATTTGGAATATTTTGAGATAAGATTTTGTGAATAAATTTGACACTGTTACAAATTAAACGTTTATTAAATGTCAGAAGTCTTAGATGTCCGTACAAGAGATTTGTTTCGATGTTGTTTCTATCTGAAACTAGGCGTAAGGCTCGATTTTGTAGAGAACACAGTCGTTTGACAATAGATTTAGAGCAATTATCCTAAACTGTGGAACAATAGTCAATGTGCATTTTGATGTAAAAAAAAATATTTTATGTGTATTTTCGTCCAGAAATGGCTGAATTTTGCCATGTTGATAAACGTTTCGTGCTATCTTTTTGGTCATGGCATGAACATGGGAACTCTAAGTTAAATGGCTGTCAAAAAAAAAACGCTCAGTGTTTTGTGTTCAACTACATTAACAATAGGTAGTTTGTCAATGAAGGGCTCAATCAGTGGCTTGTGTAAAGCTAATGTCTGTAGCTTTTGCCGAGTTGTTATTACCATAGATTTAGTTATGTTAATTTGCATACGATTATCATTGCTCCATGATCAAGAAGCGTAAGCATTGGTTAATTAATTTTATATTTAACATTCAAAATATCAAATAACTGAGTTAAAAAAAAAAGTAAAGTTCCCTTTTCACGCCTTTCGGCGCATCGGGCATATGGGCAGAGCGTCCCATATTTTTACAGACCATCAGCACTCTGTGGGTAATGTGGTCAGCATTACGCCGGCTGTCTTTACTTTCCCAGGACAGCCCCATCCTGGTACCCATTTTAGGCTGGGTCGACCTGCGACGTCCCATACCACGATAAAAATCCACGCAGCCCACGATCGCGGTATGCTGGCTTACGAGTCGGACTCGCAACGCCTTAGCCACGGACGCCGCTAATAACTGAGTTAATATACTGTAAATAATGTGAAATTTAAAGAAGAAGAAATACTTAAAGAGAGAAATTCTATACATTGTTTAGGGGACTCGCTTAGACAGAGGCCGTTAACATTTCTTCTGCAGGAGGAGAGGTGGCTTAAAGGGCTTGAAACTCCAGGGTCCGGTGCCCTCGTCTTCCAGTGACCAAGGTATCATCTACACGTGCACGAATGCCCTATTCTAAATGGCCTGTAACACCAATAACACCACAGGCTCCATACTCACGGCTTGGAAGTCACCTGCTGGAGTTCTGCGCAGTCTTCGTACACATTATCATGTAGCTAGCTCTTTGCAGAACGTCGCACTTATCACGGTCTGCCAGAAAGAAGCTCTGTCTCTCGCCAAATCTCCCGTCCCGTGCACTTTCCTGGCTTAGGTGCCACTTATATCTTGAGCCCATCTTCGTGCATGTCGACCCCTGCCCCTATTTTCTGATGCCATGTTTTCTGCTATTATTTGTCTTTTCCAAGCAGCAGTGGCGATTGATATGGCCATACAATTTTTAGTTTCTGTGAAAAGATTATGTTTACTAGCCAAACTTTCTTGATATTCAGGTCTTTCATTATCGATATGTCTAGTGTTCTTTGTCGAAGGTATTCTGAGAACCTTTCCATAGCATTTCATCTCAAAAGCCCATTTTCCTCAAAATATCAAAAAATAATGTCTCGTCGCCACTTGTTTCTTTTCCACTCAGTAGTAAAGGTAAAGGTAAAGTCTGGAGATGTGAACCAGCGTCATTGCACACGGTTATAAACCATAAGTGCTCTGCCACCAGTACGGACAGCTGATAAGAATTGTCCGCCTGTGTCGCCGTTCGCACGTAACTCTGTAGCTTCAGCGACGTTCCTCCATTTACCCCAGAGTATCACTCTGATACCCATTTCCTAGAGGCTGGGTGAAACCCAGGAGCCGTGCGCTGCAGTGAGTCGCAGCTGGATTTGAAAGCGAGCCTCTTATCCAATGTGCTAAAGCGGCTCCCATGAAGTATAAACTGTGGCAGAGAACCTGTTTCTGTGATTCATATACAAGAAGTTCTCATGGACTCTCTTATCCCCTCCATCCATCGTTTAAATGATAGGCCTCTCCCTCGATTTATATTTGATCTGTAGTTTTGCTCTTGGAGGTATACTGTCTATTAGCGGCCGAGTTAAATGGCTGGACATTGCACCTATTGATTTTACTAATATCTAGTGCTGTAACTATATCATGTCTTCTTGAACGCAGCTGTGGACGATTTGTCTTGGAGTGGTTATGACAGTGGTACCAAGAGCTGACCGTTTAGTAAGCAATGGCAAACTACTGAACGTAAAATTTGACTAGAAAAACCACAACAGCTAAATATTGCTGAGGTTGGTTCTGCGACGTCCTGTAAAGGATACACATATAAATCGTACATAATTTCCAATCTTCCGTCTCCTTCATGTGACAACTGCTATTCTCTGGAATCTCGTCTTTGTTATTATTACTATTATTCAAGTCTAACATCGGTAGCATAAAGTTTATAGAGATACAACTATTTTCAAATTTTGTTTCGAGTTAGGGGAAAGCTAATTCTCCATGACGTAAAGCAGGTTTAGAGGCAAGAAGAAAGACAACAAACAAGGACTGACCAAAAAGAATGAACTTACCTATTATAGGACGGTTGTTACTTTCAGCAGCACTGATGTATGTAAATCTAGCCAGACATCCTACAGCTAGAAACACCAACGTCACTCTCAATTTCATGTTTTCAGTATACTGCTTATGTACACCAACCAAAACACCACATGAGAATCTGAACTGGAAACGTCAGTGCAGATATCAGGTACTGATTTGTGAATTATTTGGTTATTAAACAAAATATACTGATCTTATATCTCTGTAGTTCTTCTTCTTTGCGTTCATCGGCTGTAAACTGCGAAGGAAATTCCAGATTGTAAGTCCACGTTTGGACTTTGGTCTTGTTCTACTATTTAAGTGTTTCGTGCAAATCCATTTTACAGAACTAGTTTATTTCTATGCACACTGTTGGTTCATATCTTTTCATGCAGATGCATCGACTTTAAAGGAAATGACGATCTTTTCTAGGTTGGTCAGGTCCAGTGTTGCCACTTTGGATCTTTTATATCCAAATGTAGATCTTTTTCATTACATTTAGATACTGTTTTTGACGTTTAGATCGTAAATATTTTTCTAGAATTCTTCATATGGAGTTAGATATTTTATAGATTTTTTTCTTTCATTGTCAATTTAATAATTACTGTGTAAAATATTTTCTACAATATTTTTGTTTTGGTCTGGCACGTACATTGTGAAAATTGCCATTACTTGAACTTTGAACTCTCACTGGGTTCAACACACAAATATCTGGCAGGCCCGGTACTGATTAATGAAAATGCGCGTAAATCAGACTAACTTTGTTTCAAAATTATCTTCGCTGTGCTTACTTTGCGTTTCTTTTTCATGTGATTTAAAAAAAAATAATTGCTCACCTTCTTATGTGGCTTTCACTTTGAAAAAAGTTTTCCACATGCCAAAAGTAAAGTATGAGAAAAAATTTGGAAAGAGTGGTTGCATGATGACAAAATTAAAAACTGGGGATATGACCAAAGCTTGTTGTAAGTACTGCAAGTGTGAAATTAAAGCGAAAAATCAAAACTCAAAAAGTCATGCAGAGACTAAAAAAAGCATAAAACTGCAGTTTCATTAAAAGATATTACACCGCTGACATCTGTTTTCATAACTATACTGATAAATGAACCAGCAAAAGTTGAAGTATCAGTCGCAATGTTTTTAATTTGTCACTGCACAATTTCAAACTGTGACCATTTGATCGATTTATAAAAAATCTTGGACTAGTTCAATTTGAAAAGTGTGATGTAGAAAGTATAGTTTAGGAACTGAAGGACCTTTTAATCAGCAAACAGTTAGGCTTGAAGAATTTGGCTGTAATTGTTACTGATAATGCCTCAGTGATGGTTGGCGTTTATGCCAAGTTGAAGGAAGCTAACCTATCGTTATTACTTATATAATGTATGCGTCATTCATTGCAGCTAGCATTATCACATGCTTCATCTAAATATTTACCAAGGAATTTGTAATACATTATTGCTGAAACACTTTACTGGTTTTCCAAATCATTTGCAGACAACAGCAATAAAATACATTATTTACAGCGTCGAATGATGGTTCCACACCACCGAAAATTCTGTCAGATTGCAAAACTAGATGGTTATCAATTTAACCAGATTTTGAAAGAATTATGAAGCAATGGCTGAAGTTGAAGAAACACTTTGAAATAACAAGACAAAGTAAAAAGTGCTACACAGCTGAAATACTATATGGAATGTACAGTGATGAAAAAAATTTGTCATTCATTCTCTTTTTATAACCTATTCTAATGGAAGTGCAAAAAGTTAATAAACTGTTCGAATCTAAACTTGTTAATAAAGTTAAATTACTTGATTATCTCACCTTGCTTTTTCACTCGGTAAAAGACTGGTGTTGCCAACTTCTAAAGCTGATTTGCTCACTTGCACTATAGAGAGCTATTTCGCTCTTAAGCCACACCTTGGATATTAAATCAAATCAAAAATTGATTTTTTCTGTGAGCAACGTACTTCAGCCAATAAAGGACATACCTAAATATTGTGAAGTTATGAAATTTTTAAGGGCTACTGATAATAGTGTCGCGGAAGCAGAATATCAGTTAACCAAAATAAAGTTAGCTGAATGGACAAAGAAAACAGAAATTAAAGCGTTTTGGAGTGAAGTGAGACAATTTAAAGATGCCTCATCAAACAGTCTATTCTGTAAGCTCTTTAAAGTGCAATGTCTGCCATGATACTACCCGACTCAAATGCTGACGTAGAAAGAGTTTTCAGTGCTAGGAATTATATCAAATCAAACCTAAAAAACAGGATGAAATTTGACCTCTTAAATTCTATCGTGCCATTAAAATTCGGCCTGATGAGACTAGAGAAATAAGCCTACCGTTCCACTTATAAAAAAATTTGAAAGCTAAAGCATACCAGGGTCATTTTGGATCTGAAGCTTCAACTTCATTATCCAAGCTAAGTTTATCCTGTGGATCTTGTGAGGCAGACATCAGTGAAGGTGAGGACATGATTATGTAGGGTAAGTCATTACAAAAGCTATGTAATTTTTGACTCTTTCAATTTGGATGTTTTCTCTAGATCTTTTCCACGCAGATTTAGATCTTTTTAGATATTTTTGGACACCGTTTTGGATATTTTGTGTCAAAGAAAAGTGGCAACACTGGTTAGGTCCTCGGGTAGGAACCTAATTATGCATTATGGTCCGATTTAGCGTTGTGAACTGATTGACTGACTTTCTACCCCATCAGGACATCACACAAGCGATAAACACCCGATGACACAATGAGCCACCATGTGGGTGAGGATCACCGTGGAGAGGTCCCAGAAACCGCGTTAAGCCTTTAGGCCACATTTATGGCCAGGCTATATTGCGGCCCCCGGCAAAGCCGGAGTAGGGCTTCAATTAACAAAACATTTCGTCCTAAAAAGGACGAGAAGTATACCCAAACAACTTATCACTGAACGTATTTAGACAAAACTGATGTGGAGATTAGGCGAAAAACGCTTCGTTATTTACTCAACAATATGTTTATGATTTGGTCGCATCTCTTCAGTGGAGGACTGACAATCTCAGGAACTTCACGCCATTTTTTTTAAATACTGGGGATAAATTAAACATGGCAAGCATATGAACTGAATATTTGAGTTTTGAAGTTAAACATTGCACGGAAACGAAAACATAACCACACACGCAGTATATCACTGTTGAAGATCAAGCGACAGTCGCATACACACAAGGGACGTAATTCGTTTAAAAAATGCCGCTTGTTATTATTCGGCACGGCCTTGTCATTTCTATTTATAAGTGTGTAGTTCCATAGCGACGTTGTCTATGACTTACTTAAGTGTTGTGAGCGCGCTTCGTAAATCGTAATGCCAGGGTGTCTGGTTCGATCCCAACTGAGGGCGATTTGGCAGCAGAACGTCTTGCATTGATTTCGACAGTGGTACCGAGAGTTGACCGTGCAGAAAACAATGTCAAACTACTAAACGTAACATCTGCCTAGAAAAACCACAACAGCAAATAAATGCTGCAGTTGGTTCTGCAACGTCCTGTTAGATTCTCAGCTAACTTTAGCTCTATAACCTCTTGGGGGGGGGGGGGGGGGGGGGGGGGGGTGGTTCTGGTTTTGACTATTTATATCGCTTAACCTTATCGTAGTGCAGTTAAGATTTATGTAAAGAGTTCCCTACATTTGCATCTACTATATCTATGCAATCAAAATGATTTGTAAATCGTGCCTACAAATCTATTCAGTCCTAGACGGCACGATTCTTTTAATATTTGCATGTTTGACATTTAAGTTCAGTAAATGATAGTTTACTACTTACATATTGAGGGGAATATTAAACGTCTGTCCTTACATGCCTGTATCCAGGACCCACTTACCAGCACTTTAAAGTTTTTGCATTGCGGATGTACATTGTGGTCTGGGAATACCACTAGTGACTTGTATGTCACATCTGACCTCAAATGCCATGCCTGCTGTACTGGGAAATATTTGTTTTCCAGAAAATGACGTTGTGCCCGCTGCTACACAGATTAGGATGTGAATTGTATTTACTTCCTAGTATATTCCTTCAGTAAACCAACACGCTTTTTTAACTTTTTTTTGCGTTAGCGCAGTCCATAGGAGACTCGCTTTCAAATCAAGCTGCGACTCGCTGCAGCCCACGGCCGGTGTTCGAAACCGGGCGGTTTTCGGAGTTCACCCAGCCTCTAAATAATGGGTTCCAGAGTTAACACTCTGGGGCAGACGGAGGAACGGAGTTGTGTGCAGACGGCGACACAGAGGGACAGTTTCTTATCAGCTGTTCGTACTGATTGCAGAGCACTTGCTGTTTATAGATGTGTGCAATGACACTGGTTCACATCTCAAGACTTTACCATACCTTTAATGTTTAAAATATTCTCAAGCAACGTTGGATTTGTGACGAACTCTTGCTCCTGAAGAATACCAATCAACGCGTCAATTGTTTTGACATTTCATAAACTGTCGGCTTTAGCCTATTAGTGGCTTAGGGGTTGCCAGCGTGTTTCATAATTCCAGATTACCTGGTTATGTTCTGGTTGCAAGCATTTTCACAGAAGACCGCTTTGTGTTAAATTCGACGAGAGTATGGAGCATTGGTCATTTAGAAAGGGTAATCTACCATTAACTAACTAACTATTCAGAAATGTGGTAAATTCAGAGCATATATCAGCAAAAGTGATTACGAATTAGATGTAGATGTGTATTATCATTAGGCTAACTGATATGTGAATTGAATAATGTATGTAAAGAGTGAGATCATGGGGGCAAAATTTAAGACGGGCGTGCGTACCCAATTCTCAACATTGCGAAAATAAATTTTGTTTGGTCATTCATCTGTTCTTATACTGAAATGAGTTGAAATCCCATTAAAGGCTGATAAGTTTTTGATTTATTTTCGTGTTATGCGGTTCTCAGATCATACTAACATCGGTACTCGGACATTCTTTTCGAAGTAAAGACAGTCGGTTTAATATCGATCGTATCAGGCATCGAGTACTAATTTTGTATATAAAAAAAAAAGCTACTTTTTTAATCTTTAGCCATTTTATCTTTCGATACCTATAGAAGACTTTCTGTAATCAGCTCTTACTTC